ATAGTCATTAAGTGAAGACAGTAAAGAGAACAAAACTTGAGGGTCAGGAAGCGAAATCCTGACTTCATTCACCAGATCTAGCTTGAGAGATGCGCATAAATGCATCATTTGAATATCAGAAGAGGAGATGTGGTCCAATGCATCAATTAGAGAGTCAAAAAATCTCAGTGACTCCAAAACAAGCTTCAAAGTTCCATGTTTCACGAGGGTATCAGAATGAAGCAACCCTTTGTTGATAATGAGCCGAGTAAATGGACATGGGCAAATGCATTTCAGAATACTTCGGATATCTGAGTTCTCAATACTTTTTGGCTCATGCTGCAGAGCATTAATAATAAAGCCAAAAGAACAGCCATCATGGACTGATAAAATGAGATCTGCAGCCAGAGAAATGATACCAAACCTGCAAAAAATTAGTTATCAAGCACAAACAAGATGGGTAGTAGCCAAAGTAGAGTTATTTAAGCGTGTATGTGTTAGCTGATAATATTAGATCATTTGAATAACCGATTATACTTATAGTCGATTATTATGTAATCTATAATAATCACAATCAAATTTTGTTTAGGTAAGCTTGCTGAAAAAAAGGAGCATGAAAATAGCAGGGAAAAACTTTTGAATAATAAACTGATCTACGATATCACCTAATGCTCTCACATATACACACAATTTTAAAAAGAAAACGGTTCATAATCTAAAGGACAGCTTATGAGCTGTAACAAACATGCTCTAGTTCTGAGAGAAGATTAATCTAACCAATTAGGTGATGCAGGATCATCAGTGTTATAAGGGAAGGCATCCAAGTATGCCGAGCCTAATGATGGCTTCCCTTTTACGATTGCCAGAAGAAGGTTCATGTGGTACTCAGTTTCTGTTGCTCTCAGCTTCTTCATGACATCCAATAGTCGTCTTGGATTACCAGTCAAAGGACTAGGGACTCTCTCTGGATCTGGCATCAACCCATTCAAAGGGTCGGTACAAACCATTAGCAAGACAGTATGAGCTAGCTCCGCAGCTTCCCCTCCATCCTCTCTTCCAGAAATGTTAACCAGTTGCTCCAAAGTCAAGCTACCGAAAAGTACACTCCTAAGTCCAGGTGGAACCAATGACTCAGGAACAAGAACTCGATCACGCAAAACTGAGAGAACAAGAATCACTGTTTTGTCTTCATCGTTTCCTAATCCACGAAGCACCCCTGAATACATATCCTTCTGTTGCAACACACCCCTCAACAACCTGGGATTACCCACTTCTAAGAAAGACATTGCAAACTTCACAAACGCCTTCCTAGTCGAAGGCTGTTTCTTCTTCCCGTCTCCGACTTTCCTGGGTTTCCACTTTGCTGCGTTCCGAAAAAATGGAATCTTGAAATCAAAATCTTTTGCTACCTTCCCCGCTAACCATGAACCACGCTTCACAATTGCAGATAACAATGAAAGCGTGGCATTCTGGCGCTTGACGTCTTTACTGTTCAACTCCTTGAGCAAATCCCCCATCTTCTCATCCACAATCCAACGCGCAAACTTATCCAGCTGAGCATTGTTGTCTAATCTCCCGAAAGGATGGCTAAGAACAGCTGCAATAAGATTGAGGATGTTCGAAAATCCCAGACTGCCTTTCCGTGTCTCCCAGACCTGCGAGAGCTCAACACATTTAGGAGAGTTTTCTATATATAAACGAAGCAATTCTGGACCAGATTCAGATTTTAGAAACTTGATGAGATCCTTAGAAGCTTCGAAGCAAAGCTGACTTTCCGCAGAGGTTAGGTTGCGGAGGAGTTCCTTGAGCTTGACTTCGACGGGGACTTTTCCCTCGAAGTTGTGAAGGTTCCACACGCCTCCATAGCCCACTGTCCCGGCGTCTTCCATTAACACTAACACTCTTCACTCGACCAGTTCAATCTATCGAGTGAAGAGCAGAAATAAAGCGATGGACAGGAGGGGAAAACCTTATACCCTAAACGGTTATGCCGTTAAAACTTAAACCCTTCTTGGAGCATCATAAGAAATTGCTGTTATTCCTTAATTAGGATGTTTTTACTTGGACCCTAATTTGTCCCAGACCAGACCAGACCAGACCAGACCAGACTAGTTCAGACCAGACCAGACCAGACCAGACTTGAATAGTTATAAAAATACAAAGAAACCAGACCTTACCAGACCAGACCAGACCAGTTCAGACCAGACCAGACCAGATCAGACCAGACCAGCAAATTACAGTCCAAGTAAAAACATCCTTAATACTATCCTCCGTATCTTTTTAATCGCAACGTGTTGACTTTTTGCAATGTTCACATGATCTACTTTGACTACATTTTACACTATTATTTTATGGAAATTACTTTTAAAAATATATATATTTCAATTCATCTCATTACAAATTTTCAAAATCTGATTTTTAATATTTTTTTATTAATAGAGATTGAGATATACTTACGGTCAAATGTGTGTGTTTGCAAATGTGCAAAGGTTGACTGTTGTAACTAAAAAGAACGGAGGAAGTAATTAATTAATACTCCGTATAGTACTACTAAACTACCAATAAAGTGCACAAATGTGAATATTTTGTTATGAATATAGAACTCATTTGATAAAGAATAAAATTTTAAAGAATTAAAAATACATTTTCCTTAATTAGAAGTGAATAAGTACTTCTAGGAAAAATAAAGATATTTCTGTTTGTGTACTTTATTCATGTTTTAATTGTGTTTAGAAAAAATCTTCAAGAATTTGACCTATTAAGAATGATTTCAAATTTCAAAATATGAATATGATATCATATTTAGAAAATAGTGTCAATTATTGTAATATATCTTCATATATAAAACTTTAAAACATCAATATTACTTCTCAAGATAATGTGAAAAAATATCTCTTATTTTAGAATTTCTAAATTTGATACGGAGTATTTTTTTATTCTTATTTTGATAATATTCTATGTTATTTAAAGGTTGAGAACTTTGGTGATTTTTTCCGTGGTGTGCGTCCATTTTTTATTGGTTTGGTTAGTTGGTTTAGAGGACGGGAGAATGAGATCGAATTATAGTGATTTAAATTGGTATTGGTCTTTTGGTTGGTTTTAGTTGTGTTGTTTCAATTAATTTTGACATTTTGATACTTTTGGTCGTTTTTTGTCATTTTGAAGTACGAAGTTTAAGGATTTAAACCTTAACATTGAGCCAATTATAGCTACTTTGGACAATTTTATTTTCTCGTTCAATTATTTAGTTTTATTTCAGTTGGACTTTTCAATCAATTTCGATCTACAAACATTTTCTTAATTATTATGTCCGGCGACGGTTTTTCGACAATAGTTGGACAAATGTAGTAGGGTCGGTGCTAGGGCAAATGTTGGATATAAATTACAATGGGTTTAATTTTATTATTTAAACAAAATGGTTAATCATATATTTGGAAAAATAGGAACTAATCATTTTTGTCTTTCAGAAGAGTAGGCATAAATTTATGTCATTTATCTCAAAATTTAGTTGCACATGAAATAAGAAAGTAAAAATTTTATGATTGAGTTTTGAGAATAGAAGATAAAAATAACAGTAATCTCAAAAATAAATGGATCTAGTATTTAAGGTCAAGGGGGTGAAATCTTTTATTATTGTAGGGTTTTGCCGATTTTTGTTCATATATATATATATATATATATATATATATATATATATATATATCATTAGCACATACATGACATTTAAATCTACTGCACTCTAAGTTTAACAATACAAAAATAACTTAATTAGATTTCATAATTGAAGTGCTCTAGAAAAAAAGTATTGTTAAATTAGAACATAAGCAATGAAATATCAAAATAAAATTATTTGATAATAAAAAAGGTTAACATTTTATTAAATTATTTGAACATAGAGAGTCTAACAGGTAAAACTTCACCAATTTTTTGTAAATAAACAATGTGTTGTTTAAATGTATGAAACTTATCAAAATAAAGAACCAATTTTTGAATTACTTTTTGGTTTATAATGAGTGTTTGTAAATCACAATGAGTCTTTTTTAATATTACAATAGTATGAAAATATTTATTTTTAGAATAATATTATGTTACTAATTCATATTTTTGGTGCATATATATTTGCAATAATACTAGAATATTTTAAAGTTGATTAATTGTTCAATATTTTTTAAAAATAAAATCAGAACTAAATAATTGTACAATTTTAATGTCACACAAACATTTATATTTTGGATTCACTTCACATCATAAAAGGTGTTTAACAATGTGTATGATATATAATATTGTTTGTGTTTTACAAAACTAGTACTACTTCTCTCATTAAGATAAAGTAAATATTACAAAACTATGATTCTTTTTTTATAGAATAAGTATCATAAGTCTTGAACCAATAATATCATATTAAATATTAAGTACTATATTATGTAAGACTATAAGCTTATTTTAAAAACTAAAAGTTAAGGGGGTAGTCACCCCTGAACATGTATATCTAAATAAAGTATGATCTTTTAGAAAAATAATATAGGAAATTTTGATAGTTAAAGAGGGCAGTCGCCCCCAACCCCTCACCCCTAGATGACTAGATCCATACTTGATCACATATATATTGCTTTAAGTTGAAATGATAAAGTTTTTTAGATGACAAAACACAGAAAATCGGCAACATTTTTTGAGTCAAAGATATGATATTAGACAAATGGGATACTAATTTGATATCATTTTTTTTAACTTTATGCTAAATTTTTCTAATGCTTTCCACATTTTAAAAAGTTTGAGATTTGGAAACTATAATCATAAATTTATGTTATTTACGAATATATCTCAGCTCGTTAGCAATTCCAGAAGAACTAATCACCACATAAAAAATGTGGCACAATTAGGTTGCAGTTCGGTTTTGTGAACTTGTCAACAGGGTGATATTACGGAGTATCATATTATTGTTGTGAGTGTTTCAAGTAAGATAAAATGGCTAAAAACAAGGATTGCATTGTGAATTTCAACACGGTAGGAACATAAGGCACCAAGCGTAACGATTCAATGAATAGAATTTAATAAATATTTCGTTATTTCGACCACTTACATTCACATAAGATCAGCACAAGGGATATGAGCGTTAGACACAACAAGTAAAAGAGCATATTGTGTACCAAACAAAGATAGCACAACAGCACAAGAATATTGTACTCAGAGTGCATAACATTTGCACTTTGACACTAGAAAGAAATGACATCGAGGAAATAATATATGGACTCGCTCACTTCTTTTGAAGAACTTTCATACCAAGGAATGCCACAACCCGGCTGACTAAACCTGTAAGGATGAGAATAGCCAAACAAAGTCCCCAGTTGTGTATATTGTATCCATATTGCTGGAGTGCCCCACAGCGCGTTATGAGCCATACACCATAATATCTGAAGTTAAATAACCAGAAAAGTAATCAAATAATATTATGGCCATAAATGAACTAAATCATTAGTGAATTATTCTGGTTTAGTGCCATCAAAGCTTGTTTTCAGCTTGTTTTTTAAAAATCACTAAAATTTAAAATAAGCGTACGGCGTACCAAACTCAAATTGGATGTCTCAGGTTCACTAGCTAGCTTTTTCCTTGTTCGTAAGCTAGTGAACCTAAAAGGCTAAAACGGGTAGAAAACATTTAGTTTATAATTTTGATATGTTTGAAATTTGAATATATTCGAAATGTAAATGTGTCATACTTGATTCTTCTTTTTATGTATTTTACGCATGTCATATTCGAATAAGCTTATAAGGTTAGTAAATATTACTTTCGTATAAGCTCATCGAAGTTCAATTAGGCTTGAAAAAGTTTGCAACAATGAATAAGTTTGATCTATCTGATGTTTAGTTGAGCTTAGTTCATTTTCAGCCTGTTTTTGGCAAAAAAGATGAATCAGAGGCATTTGGGATTGAATGATTGAATGATTGGTTGAGCAGTATGGTAAAGAGAGCCAACTAATGTGCCCGTTTGGGATACTTCTTGTTGGCTTATCTGTCACATAGTTCACTAAACAGTAAACACTAACTTATTCCATTGCACTCGCTGAATCAGCTGATTAAAAAAAGTAGTTCAAAATGAGCAAAATGAGTTGCAATAGATTAAGTTAGTGTTTTTTTACTCCGGGGGGGCCTGGGGGGCATGGAGTAATCAGGGATGAAACTCACTCCATTGAGTTTCGAATCCTTATGTGCCTAGCGGGTTTCGAACTCGAGACCTCCCACTAGGCACGGTAACCTCACAACCAGCTGGGCTGGAATGCTTGGTTAAGTTAGTGTTTACTGTTAACTGAACAGATAATTGACACATCAACCTTGGCCTTTAGATACTCTATTATTTTCTTTAGTTTACGTAAAAATACATTTAAAAGTTAAAACATATTTGAGATAGTAAAGCCAATTAAGCCATTGCAAGTTTGCAAGCACTATTTCATCAGATTCAGCTGTTACAAAAAAGGCTCTTAGTAAATGTGCAATACTGAAATGTGTACCTTTCTGCATTTGCGATAACAAAGGCTTGTAGTGCCCATTTTGGATAGCACAAGTCAGCTATGACATTAAAAAGCTTGCTACCCGAAGATTGTGTAGCAACGAGAGTGAATACCACAGGAACAAGTACAGCACACTGCAAGAAAGGGAAAAATCTATAGTTAGTTAGGTAGTTAGTCATCTTGAATAGGGCCCAAACTGTAATAATTAAAAGCTTTCCATACCAGCTGGGAAGGACCCGGTTCAAGAAAGATGGCGAATGCATAACCCATACCCGTAACACAATAGACAAGGCAGAGTAAGACGACATAATTATCTGCAAAAGTGGACCTTGGGTTGCAAAAGAAGTAGAACATGGAGAGATACACGGCTGGTTTAATTATGGTATTGAAATGATCTATTGTATCTTTGGATACAAAATGAGCAAGACTGCTCATGCCAGAAGCACTTTCTCTCCAGTAGTGCAACTTGTCTAATGAAAATGTTCTCAATGCTGCAACTTTACACAGCAAAGCTGCAAAGAAAAAGATTTTTAAGGAATTACTTTTTATAAGCTAAAGAGAAAAGAAGGGTGTAGTGCAATTCAATAACTTGAAATAAATAAATCTTGACATATGTTTTGTCTATAAATTGGCAACGAAAGAAATTGCTTGAATTCATATACCGCATTGTATATTTTTGATATAAATGTTTTTCAGGAACTTTGAAAGAAATAATCACTATCAGGGTACATATAGTAACCTTCATGCAAAACATGCAATCATATAAGTATAAATTAAGTATGAATACGGTTTAAACTTACAGACAGCAATTATAGTGTGTGCATAACCAGGGAAACCAAAAGTTTCATCCTTCACTTTGGTCAGTGACCCCAAGCAGGCTCCAGCAACTAATAGAATGAGATAATCCATTGCTTGTGTTTTCGCTTCCCGTAATCTCTGTTTACCCACCCTGAGTTCAAAGAAAGAGACAAAAAGTTGGGTGAGGTCAGGAAGTAATTATTACAACTATAAATGGAAAATAATAGTCCAATATGACATAATCTTTAGTGGACTAGCTGGAATATATATGTATATTTCCTAATAGAAACCAAAAGTTAGATTAAAAATGAAATAAGAAAAGGATGTCCAAACAATTAGGCACCTTCCCATGAAGTATTTATACTGCAAGAAAATATTTGGAGTTCTTCGATTGGAGAGGTCCTTTGACGTAAAGAAATTGTGATGTAAAACATCACGATGCCTCTGCATATTGCACTTCATGTCTTGCCATATCTCCCCAGCAAAAGAACGTTCTGCATTGACAATGCCATCATCATGATTAACATTTACTCCAGTTGGCAAAACAGCATCCCTGTGCAAATCCTGTTGCATATCTGAAGGCACAGCATAGCCCTTATGAACCATCCAGGACACAGGAAGCTCATTATAACTCATCTTTGAACTGGCTTTTGGGGTAATCAGACCCTCCAGAACATCAATGAAGTAGTCTGGAGGATTAACACGCTCAGGAACATTGATTCCAAGACCTGCAAAATACTCTTCTACCTTCTTAGCTGAGCCATGGTAAACTGTAAGCCCTCCTTTTGCCAGAAGCATCAAATCATCAAACATTTTGAACAAGGTATAGCTGAAAAGTGAAGTGGCTATTAGTTAATTTATTCGTTGGCTTTTTATTTCTAGTATTCCATAAAGTTATAGTTTATCAAAGAGTTACCATAGGAATATGGTATGATAAATTCGCAGCTATAAAACACTATACTGGTGCATGATAATATGAGATCACAAGTCTAACAGCTCTAGTATCAGGGATATGTGAAAGCTTTCCTATCATTGCATTTATTTTCAGTAATCCTATACTCCATAAGTTTGATCTAAATGTTCTAACTGCTCCTTACAAAAAAAGAATCACTTTTGAGTGAGATACAACCTATTGTTTTTAGTCAACTCGATCAGGGTACAACCTTATGCAAATTATGAATGGTCATTTTGTAATACCGTGACTTGAGATGAGAATAGAGAAGAGCTATAAAAAAAAGTACCACTCATACGAGCAAGAAACACTCCTTTTTAGGAAGTTCATTTGCTAAGAATTCCACATTTAAGTGTGCTTAGTAGAGAGTAGTCATAGAATGGGTGACCTCCTGGCGGAAAGACCTCTGTGGTTTGTAGGGAACCTAGAGAGAACCTAGAAGTAACCATCTCTGACCTATGGGATCCGGGTGCTACACATTTATACCCTAAAAAATTACTTCAGTGACTCGCCGGAGTAATAGATAGAAACTGCTTGCCCCGTTGCACTTTACTTATAAATGAAAGTTGACTTCTAAACTGGACTACCAAATACTTCTTGAAGCTTGACTTCTTTTCTTGGACGGATGGAGTAGTAAATAAGCATGTTAAACTGAGCAGTACCTAACTCACAGCATGTTGCTACAGTAATTATTACCTTGGTTGGTGGACAACCATACATATGTTTACCCCTTCAAGAGCTTCACGGCGGAGTGCTCTAAGAAGTAATTGAGAAGATGCACTGTCTAACCCAGAAGTCGGCTCATCCAAAAACAATAGTGAAGGTTCAATTACCAGCTCTAGACCAACATTTACTCGTTTTCTCTGACCTCCAGAAATGCCTCGCTTTTCCACTGTACCAACCAAAGAATTTCTTACTGCTTGTAAGCCTAAGGAGTCGATGACCCTCTCAACAACTAGGACCTTATCCGGCTTTGGCAAATCTGCTGACAATCTTCAAAAAAATCAAGTTAAGATGTTACTGTGGGAAACATCTTAGAGATGAAACATAGTTAGAGATGAATTTTATAATCTAGGTAAAAAATTCACACATTATGTTCTGAACTGGAAACTATAGGATACCACAGCATTTATGACCAAAACAAAAATTGCAGGCATGACTGCATGAGTGATTTGAGTAGAAATAGTACGAAATATTAAGACCTAATGTTCAATCCTAAAAGGTCAACTAGGAAGAGTTGACCAGAATCTTATATACTAAATTATTGTTTTATATTTAATCGTTGTTGAAATAATACTTCAACACGCTGCCAAACTAGCAAATCAAACCAAAATTGAATTATTTAACATATAATACAATATATTATATGTTGTATTATTTAAATGATGTAGGACAAATACTTTAACAACAAAATTGAGAATGGACCAGTGGAAGAGGTGTTGTTGAATGTACATGCTAATGTTGAGACCTATATTGGTAGGTCCAATTTCATACCGAAAAAGCTCAGCTAGCACAGTACTGAGCATATCAAATGAACTCATCCACATTCACACAGAACAAAGAGTTTTAACTTGCTATCCTTAGAAAGTTTAGCTAAATAATCCAATGCCTGGATATATATTGCAAGACCTTATTTTAGAGATAAGTAGCACAGGATACCTGCAATTTGCAGTGAACCAAAGATTCTCCTCGACAGTCAAATTTCCATGAACAATATCATCCTGTGGAACAAAACCTATAATTTTCCTGTATGAGTGGATTGATTCCGTCTTTCCATTTATAAGTATTGAACCAGTTAAGGTGCATCCAACAGTTTTTCCAGCCAAAGCTGAAAGAAAAGTAGTTTTTCCTGCCCCAGAAGGGCCCATGACAGCAGTAATACGCCCAGGCATGACTATCCCATGGACAGATCTCAAAAGATGTTTGTTTTTCCCTTTCAGAGTAACAGTCACATCTCTGAAAGCAATCTCTATAGTTGGCCTTTTCCTTATTTCATTATTTGTTGCCATGGAAAGTACACCGGAGAAGGTAAGACTTTTATTTTGCCGCTGCTGAGCTTTCTCAAGCTCAAGTTTAGAATATGCATAGTTAAACATTTGGCTATGTGTTTGAGCTTGTTTCCCTTTTGGCACTTTCTCTTTCAAATTTTTATCCTTGACCTCTGAATTAAAGACTTCCGAATTATCACAACTGATGTCTTTCATCATCTTCAGGAGTGGACTGGGTTCAATCTCAGTTGATGAGGCAGCTGTTTTTTTAAATCCTATAGAATTAGATCCATGCATATCAGCATCTTGATCATTATTAGCTACATTGAAAACTGTGACATTGTCACTAATAGTAATAGCTTTCTTGCGAGAAGGTTTTAGTGAAACTTGAGAACGTAATTCGATAGCATGTTTTTTAGCAGCCTCCTTGGCAGACTTCCACCTTGCACGTGCATGTACCCTCTCCTTCACACTTTTAGCGGCTGATTCCCTAAATCTAGCACGCCTCCTTTCCCGAACAGTAATGATGTGGTCAGAAGAGTTGTAGATTATAAGAAGAGCAGTAGATAAAGCAACCTGAATCAAATAACAAATGAAAAAAGAATAATGATATCAATATTTATTGTCTATCTTTCATTTCTTCTTTTCACCCTCCTATTGTTTCTTAAAAATATAAGGAACAAAAAAGTCAAAAACACAAATACCCATACTAGGCTTCGTTCGTTTTTTTACTAGAAACAAGATTCTGAAAACCAAGAAAAAGTGTTCTAATTTTTTTGTTGGCAGTTTCCAAACTAAACATCATTAGCTCATTACTATAAATTTGATAATTCTTAGTTCATTATACAACATATATCACAGAGTACATTTCAAAATCATAGAACAACCACCATTTTAAGAAAAAAGCCCAAACTGGCGTTTCTTATAACAGATGAAAGCACACATTTACGTCGAGCAAGAACTTGTAGTTTATAAACTTCAACTCAATAATGTGTCCTTTGTTTGCGGGAAGAAGAAATAAAAACTACAGATATAGGAAGCTCACTATAAGAATAACTCCATATGCATGCATATTTTGACTTGAAGTGTTCGGATCACAAGATGTCAACTTGACACATCCTGCATGTCCATCAATAACATCAGATCCTCCATGAATGAGTCAACAGTGTAGAGGAAAAGTTAATCCAAATTTTATGGATTCAGTCATTTGTTAAAGGAAGGTTAATCAACTAGTCAGGTTGAGTGGAACATTAGATATTCTAACTAAAGCTCAACTGACTTACCTTTCTCGGCTGTAGAACCTGTAGGGCAGTAATTCCTAGAAATTCAAGATAAAGAAATAGCATCACCATAACATATGGAGGCGAACATTCTAAAGTAAAAGTAAATAAATAAGACTAAGTATCGTCCCATTGCTCATTGGTAAGATTTGCAGTCAAAATAAACAATTATTACCAACCTGATCCATGAAAAGTTATTTTTTCTGTAAGGGAATATTAAAAATTTGAATATAGATCCCATGAGAAAATTCAGATAGAAATTAATACCCACTACTGCAAGGAATCTTTTCAGTATTTGATGGACAATAGGATCCTGCTGAACAGAATATCTCCGAGCTTCGACCAACATCTGCCCAGATATTTGCCCCGCCACAACTATGATTTGAATGTCCGTGAGGTAATTGGTAATTATATCTGGAGTCACAAATCAATGAGCATTTTATAACAAATAACAGTAAAGTCCAAATAAGGCAAAAGGGATAACTTAAAAGTACAATACTTACGGTTCACATACTCCAGTATCATTATTGAGTGTTGCACGTGGGCAATAGGAACCCAAAGGGCAGGCTTCAAAAGAAGTTGAAAAAGGTTTTAGAAATTGTTGACTCTCATCAACAGTCAACAAGGGCACACTCAAAAGAGGTTCTCTTTTAAAATAACACATTAATGGAAAATGATGTTTGAAAACATTTAAGTGGCAAAGTTTATACATTAATACTGTTTCGATATAAACCAACTATACTGAGCCGACCCCATTGGATTGTTACTCCCGGTTCGCCCCACAAACAAGCAGTTTCAGCCCAGCCCTCTATACTTGCAATCGTAGCTACAAATCTCAATCGAGACCCCTGACGAGTATCACTTGTGATACATATCCTATGAGCACGAGCACATTATACGGATATAAGAATACAACAAGGGGATGAGTGTGGTTGGACAGGAAGTCTTTATCAATATCCCAGCCATCCTAGAATTCGTACAGATTGTACAATGGATATAGGATGCGCTTTTGCCCCATTAAAGCATCCACCTGATCATAGTGGGAACCATTGACCATATTATAGTGGATCTCAACAGTTGAGCTCAGGAAAGTGATAGGTAACGGAGGAATCCCAGTAGATAAAAGCAGTGTATTAATGAAGATTAAAGGTTGGAATACAGAAAATTATGAAAGAAAAGGTTTGAGACTCTTCGAGTGGTCTCTCACTCCCAGTTCCGATCCCAGTTCCTAAGTTTCAGCCTCCGTTATTCTTTCCCCAACCCCTCTTTTATAATAAAACTCACTAAAAGGGCCAGCCCTCACTTAAGCTATTGGGCCTGGACCCCTATTATTGGAAAACATTAAAATACTTAATAAGACTCTAATTATTTGTAGTACTCGGGTCCCTATCATCACTCCCCCCTGAACTTCCACCTTGTCCTCAAGGTGGATGATAAGAGACTGATTTTCCATTGGGTTTCAGCAGGTTTTCAGCTTCATCCTTTTCATATAACTGATCTTCTGTTCCCTTCTCTTCTTCTGGCTCTTCCATCCAGATAAGTTGATAATTTTTCATTCCACATACATGCTCTTTGCCCCATTTGTTTCCACATTTGAAACATAGGCCCTTCTTGCTTCTTTCTTCTAAGTCCGCTTGTGTCAACCTTTGGCCATTCTCCCATGTCTTATTTGGTTTTGGCGATTCCTCCAGTTTGTTCTCCGAGAATGTTCTCTCCGGAGCAGTTGTTCTTCCCTTTGTCGCTTCCACCCAATTCCAGGCTCTGACAAGTTTTCCTCCATGTTCCTTCAAGCCTTTGTTGTCTTCTTCTTTATTTGTTTCTCCTGTCCATACCTTATTCTTCTGTTCAACTAGCTGGGCTGTGTCCATAAGATCAGTTAACCCAGTGGGCCGGTGCAACTTCAGCTCTGAGCTAATTTCTTCTTTGAGGCCATTAAAAAATACTCCTTTTAGCATCTCTGGGTCAGCAATTTTGAGGGGAGCTACAACCCTTTCGAAATGATCCCTGTACTCCATGACTGAATTAGTTTGCTTAATTTTGAGCATAGGGCCAAACGGGTTCTGAACCAATTCCGGCTGGAAGCGTCTGATCAAAGCTTCCTTATAATTACCCCAGGAGTGGTCATCAGTCTGTTCATCCCACCATTGATACCAGTTCAGAGCCCTTTCGGTCATGGCTATCAGGACAACTTCCACTTTGTCACTCTCTGATACATGATTTAATTTAAAATAGCGTTCGACCCTGAGAAGCCAATCGTAAGCATCGTTTCCACTAAACAAAGGTAAATCCACCTTTCTTCCGGTATAAACCCGATCGTTAATTCTCGTATGCTCAGGAGTACGAGAAACGGATTCAGAATCGTGAGAATTACCTCCTGAACTGGACGAACTCACACTGGCAGAAGTGTGGCGCCGGCGAGGGGTGGCTGATCGTCCTCTTCTTTTCCTGCGATTTCCCTGGGTCTCAAGACTTTCCATCTTCGCTAGCAGTGTCTGCATCCGTTCATCCATCATTGACAGCATCTCTGTGCGCATATCGGCCATGGACCGCTCAAAAGATCTCTCTAGGTTATCAATCCTCTGCTCCATGTTCGATCGAGTGCGGACCATATACAGGTGCAGCGACTGGCTCTGATACCAATGATAGGTAACGGAGGAATCCCAGTAGATAAAAGCAGTGTATTAATGAAGATTAAAGGTTGGAATACAGAAAATTATGAAAGAAAAGGTTTGAGACTCTTCGAGTGGTCTCTCACTCCCAGTTCCGATCCCAGTTCCTAAGTTTCAGCCTCCGTTATTCTTTCCCCAACCCCTCTTTTATAATAAAACTCACTAAAAGGGCCAGCCCTCACTTAAGCTATTGGGCCTGGACCCCTATTATTGGAAAACATTAAAATACTTAATAAGACTCTAATTATTTGTAGTACTCGGGTCCCTATCAGAAAGGGATCAGATTTATTCACACGGATCTCAACCCTGGCTAGTGCATCTTTACATAGCCACATCATGCTGTTGTGGTGCATGTAGAATCTTACCAAGCTTGTTAGAGCTCATTTGGTTGTGATGCTAAACACGGTTGTAAGAAGAAATGTTTCTTACAATAGCAATTCTACTAAAACCAGTGTAACTAAAAACAATAGAGCATTTGGCAATAGAATTGTAGTGTTTTGAATGGACATCGAAAAGAAATGTCTTTCAAAACACATAGGAAGACGGTTTTTGCATAAGCATCCGTGTTTCATATAACGGCACTTAATTTGTATCGACTTTTCAGAATAATTCTGAAAATTGTCTCACAAACATCCTTGTTCACATGGAAAGCTAATTTTTCCCTTTGGTAGAGCTTTCAAACTGTTCTAGAAGTACATCATAACAAGCACAAATTGCTGTATAAAGACACAAACTTTTGAAAGGAGCACTTCCATTGAATATTCCCTAAAAATATTAAAATCATGCGTAATTGTATTGCATAACATTATATTGTCTTTCAGCAAGTTGTTGCATCGTATTTGATAAAAATGATACAGAACACTACATTTGAGGTTTAGTAACACAAGGGAAATCAATCAAGAGAAATTTTTTAAATTCATAAGTAATTGATACAGAAAGTATAAAAGTTTCTAGTATACTTACGTATCATACAAGTAATGCCTTGTGGACAAAAGAATCCCTCACAGCAAGGCTGACAGTCAATGATTCTTGTAGGTATATCTTGCACATTTTCGGGGTCAGACTTCTGATTTGACCCTGTTTTACAAGCCCATCCTGGCTCACAACCAGGTACCCAAGAAGTAAGATTACAGTTCCTATTAGGCTTTTGGTAACTCATTGAAGTCAGGAAGATGTTACTAACGTAGGATCTTATTTCTGCTGCACTACATAACCTTTGTTGTACATCTCCTGTTGACCACACAAAAATTGTAAGACTTCAGTTAGTCATAATGAAGAATGGGTAATGTCCATATTGTCTGATTTTTCACAAGATTCATGTATACCAACCATGCTAACTTGATACTTTGATAGGAGGAGTAACTCACGTCCCTACTGAAAGGCAAAACATATAATACTTTTTTCTCTCACACTAGCAAATTGCAGTTTTCATAGATATCCACATGATGGATGTGGTTCGTGTATACTCAGTTATCATATCAATGTGGAACAAATTCTTGTAACAGTTATGCAACATTTTTCATAGCTACGGAAGTGGAACGTCATTGAAAGCTCACGCAGGAATCTATAGCATCCAATGCCTCTTAAGTAGGACTAAACTACTCTACTGATCTACTCAAGGGTGAGGAAGAGATTCATTAAGATCTTTTTAAATATGCCAGTTTTTAGCATTATACAATTGCTCAAATCTGTCCAATACAGCTCATCCTGAATAGTTTGTTCTATTCATAATACTCAGCTTAAAGATGTATATTCTGGTTTTGTAATAAAAAACCGAGGTTCAGCACTAAAGCTAAATTACATTGATCAACTGACTAGTTGGAATTTGGGTTCTTATTTCTTAATATCATCCTTGCAAATTTAGGAGGAATATATGCTCACACTGCTGTTAAATACGTAGTATATTCTTTAAGAACATCTGGAGTACTGATTTGTCATGATGAAAGAGCTCTAACTCCTCTAAGCGACGAGAATAATAAATAAATTAAAATAAGAAAACCAAAAGACGTAAACTACGACTTTTTCTATACGCGTTTTTCTCTACCTTTAGTTCTGGCAACACAATCTCTCAGGAACCGCGAATTCTGGCTAAAGTTAAATGCATTATCCCAATCCTTTTCTCTGCATTTGGAAATAATAAACTTAGAACAAGTTGCTAAGAATCAAGTCTAAGCTAATCTCCAACATCAAACAATCAATTGTTTAATCTGTAAACTCACTTGTCTAGAATGCAGAAACTTGATTTCTCATACATCTCACTAGAGAAAACCCGGGAGGTCACATTGGCGATGCGGCGGTTGACTTCCTGAATCACTAGCTCACGCACCGCCGGATTATCGACTTTTGCGTCGTCTAGATTCTGACAAAGTGCGAAGTCCACCACTAAGGCCGCGGCGAAGACAATGCCGATAATTGCGGAGAAGGACGGCGTCCGTGGCATCTTCCACCGCCAAAGCATTTCCATAGTTGCTCTGCACTGCGATGAGCTCCATCGATAGGGTGGGCGGCTCTATATAACTGAAAAGGAGTGGGAATCATGGCGTGAATAAAGAAATGGAAAACTCGCAAGTCGCAACACTGCAGTGATGTGGGACCGACTAAGACCATGTATAACAGAAATAACGTTGCCGGCACGGCGGCTTAGAACCGCTGGCGTTGTCAGTTTACTCAGACCGGTAAATAATTGTATGCTCAATAAACAAAAATACGGAAATAGGAAAATACTATCTCCCTACCACTACCATAATATAGTTGCAACATCTAAATTTACACACTATTTATACATTCTACTTTGACTACATTTTATTTATTTATGTATGTGAATTATTTTTTTTTGAAAAACATTGTTGAAATCGTCTTATTACAAAGTTTCAAAATCTAATTTTTATTTTTTTTTACTATATGACGGTTAAAGTTATGCATTGCCAAACGTAGAAATGAGAATGTTGCAACTAAAAAGAACGGAGGAAGTAAATTTTTTTATTGGAAAACATATTATTTTGAAGCTCTTTAACAGTGTGCTATATACTGGAGTATAAAAAAACACTATCTTATATTGTATTATCATTATTATTTAAGAGTAATAGAGTAAATATCTAGGGATGGAGGAGTATAACCTCCAAATTAGGATATTTAGGAATATCTATAAAATGAAAATAAATTTTTTTTTAGGGATGGAGGAGTATAACCTCTCACCCGAATTAATGATAACATTTTTATTTCGTCCGGTAGATTAAGAATGGTATAAATTAAAGTATTCTATACATTTTACCAATGTTCTAAAAATCGTTGGGCGCTAGTCGGACGGTTGAGGGGCGCCTATCGCCTAATCAGCCGATTAGGCTGATATTTTGGCCGACTAGGCCGATTAATCCTCTACAGTGACTCAGTGAGGACCGACTAGACCAATTTTTAGAACAATGCATTTTACTGTAGAATTTATAAAAGGCATTTTACTGTAGAATGTATCCACCAATGACTATCTACCGAGAACGTCAGCACTCCATCTCTCAAGTACATCCAAAAGGTGACTGAGGATCCTACACTGGTACCACTCACCATATCAGTGCCTTTGTTGCAGTT